GATTTTTCTTAGAATGTATAAAATGTCACTTATACCGTTCTGGTTTACACCCATTCAAATATCGTATTATTGTTCGCCCATTGACCGCCAAAATAGTTCAAATTTGGCGCCACGCTTCAAACATCTCAGTTCGCTACTCTTTGAAGGCATTTTAGAAGAAAAAAATCACACATTTCAAACTTCCCACCCGTCAAAAATTTCGCGCGAATACCTTCCCAGTTTACCAAATACTCGTGTTTTTCGTACAAAGTTCTTTGACATTGATTGTCAACTGCTTCTTGTAAGTTCGGAGTATCACCAAAAGATCGCATCAGCTCCTGGGCGGCCGCGACGAAATATGTAAACATTGTCATTTCTCGGAATCCAGCTCTTTCCATGTTAGACGCAGCAGGTCCGCATTGTCATGAAAATAAAGGGGGCCGCGAGTATTTTCGTGGCCATCGAGGACAGAAGCTAAGTGAAATGTGTTGGGCGCATGCAAAGATCGATTCGGGGCGCTGCCAGGCAATTCCCAACACCTTTCTACGGTCTAACGAGCAGTAAAACGTGAAACAAAAACATTTAATTTCGGCTGGACAGAGGTATCCATGACAATCCCTTCAATACTCCTGGACTCCTTCAGCAAGGTAACAATCTTTATCAATTATGTATTGTTTCTTTTCCAGAACACGCTTGTTTAATGAGAACTTTCGATAGAAAATGAGGTTTGTTGCAGTTTTTGCTAATGCTCTCCCAATTTATCTAAGCAATATTTCGCATCTCAATTATTACTTTCCCGTGTACATACGTATATTTATATTAGCGGCAACTTGTTCACAGTATTATATTTGAGTACATGTGCTTTAAATATTATCATATAAAGCTTCTCGAAAAGTAAACATTTCGAACGGATAGTACTAACTGCACTCTTTAATATGAGGTAAAGTTCATTTCTGGGTATTTTTTGTTTTTTCAAAAATTACACAAATGTAATTTTTTGGGAAGTATCTCACGCCACACTTATGCACATTTCCATCAATTGGTAAACTATTGCATTTGTGAGTTAATTTGCTTTAAATGAAGTTTCTCGAAAACTCAAACTTTCTGTAATAGTGCTTCAAATTTTGAATTTACAGTAAGGCGTCAGCGCAATTTTCTTAAATACCAATGCAAACTTTTTAAATAAAAAAAACATTTAGGACAAGTTTTTACTATTTTTTAATATTTTTGTTTTATTTAAAAAAACGAAAAATTAAGAATTTTTTTAATTGTACTTTTGGCGGTGATGTCAGAAGGCAAGAGTTTGTGGCAAGTTCGAATAGCTAGCCAAGACCAGAGGAAATAGAAAACTAATACGGGAAAGTCTGTGCCATTCACTATGCGCACTTTTTGTTGAATTCTCCTTTTGCTTGTAATGGTAAGAGTAGAGGTAAGGGCGAGCTGCCATTTTGTTAGCAATGCAGAAAAATCATACTTGCAATTTATGTGCCGATGCAAATAAGTTTTCTATAACTCAAAAAAGAAAATGACTATTTTTCAAATATTGCTAATCTTGCGATTTTTAAAATTTATTCATTGATGTTAAACTTTTACTCGCCTTTCAACTATTTATAGTTAAAATGACGGGAGGGATTCTCGGACTCAAGAAAACGTGCGCAGATCTTTTCCCCCCTACGTCACATACAGCTTTTACTGTTTTATTGACGGAATAAATCTACATCCACTAGTTAATGATATTGTACAATCTATATTCATTGAAGCTACGTTCATTTTTTTAGGTTTACTAAACTCAGAAATTCATTACTTTCACAATACATTTCATTTTTACGAAAATGAATTTCACCATTCATGTATCAAATTCAGCATTCATTGATAGTGGTAGACCAGAAAATACTTTGGATATACCAATTTTTTTAGAACATTCATCAATGTCAGAATAGATATTATAAAATAAAAATGTTATGCCTAAATTAAAATTCAAGAACATTTGCATTTTTTATTGTTGAAGTCGTTTCAGTTCTTGATTGTTTTGTATACCCGTTTACTACATCAATCATATAATACACATTATCAATAAAATTTAAACGCCGTGTGTAAATAATTAGTACAGAAAAATCGGTCTAATCCGCACCTGTGCAAGCCGGAAACCTGTTTTTACTGGAAAAGGTATCTGGCCATGACGTTAAATGACATTGAAATTTTGTTTAAAATTCTCTATCCCTGTGACACGCGATTTCGTCTTGGCAGTCGAATATTGAAGGAGAGGGGCTCTAGCTGTCAGCGTAGAATTCAATCTTAACAGTCGCTGGTCACTCAAATCTGCCGTAGGGGAATTCTCTCTCCCGTCTCTGAGTGTGGGAATATGTATGGGCAGAGCCTCTATTCACGCGTCTCCCTGGCTGGCGTTGAAAATCATAATAGAAACCCTTCTCTGAAGGGGTTTCTACCTTAAAAATTCATGGCTTCGATCAGGTTCGAAATTGGACAGCCCGAATCGCTAATCGTTACACTACCGAACCCACAACTTCGCGTTAACATGGACATGTTCTCGCACATGGTTGCACTTTAGACTACAGTGCGGTTTTTATAGCACTGTTCCTCTAGACCCTACTAATAATGTACTTCAGCTTCCGGGTCAATGACCCCATCTCGGTTAGATTTTTGTCCAATTTCTCTGATCCATTGAACAAATGCTGAGACGTAACTGTACGTAACTGTAGCTTCGCTATGCGCACGTTCAGTTGAAGTCTTTTGCTTGTAATCGTACGAGGAGAGGTAATGGGGAGTTACTATTTTGTTAGCAATGCAGAAAAATCATACTTGCAATTAATTTACCGATACAAATATGTTTTCTGTAACTCGGAAACAAAAATGTCTATTTTCCTAATATTGCTAATCTCACGATTTTTTAAAATTTATTTTTATTTATTTTAAACTTTTCCTCGTATATCAACTATTCATAGTTGAAATGACGGGAAGGGATTCTGGAACTCACGAACACGTGCAGAGATAATCTCCCCCATACGTCACATACCGTTTTTACTGTTTTATTGACTAAATAAATCTAAATCTACTTCACAATGACATTGTCACAGTATTTCGCGTCTTTCTCGGTCGTGTCGTTAGATTTCGCATGATCGCGACCGTATCCAGCACTGCCATTCAACCGAGAAAGACGCGAAATACTGTGGCACAATGCCACCAACAAGTAGAGACTTAAGGGGCAGAGTTATAAAACCCACACTAAATAATTGTTCGCGGGCAGCCAGTTGCACAACACTGACCTAGTGGGATGTCAATTATTTGTTCAAAAGTGGATGTAAACATTGTCACGTGGGTAGATAGTCGCTGATTGGCTGAGAGTCCGCGACACACATTCTTCCTCGGACTTTTTTAAGTACACGCGTAATAAAATAGTTCCACACTATTCAAGTAAATGCTCGTAAAATACTGAAGAAAATCAGACGTAAGCGTCAGATGTAATAAGTATAAATTTACATTATATGATATGTGTTACATATATGATACGTGTTACTTTAAAGAAAAGGGGTAAACGAAGATACATATCAAGCGAAGTACTTTCTATGAAATGGCGGAGCGCGTAACACGTGTCCTTGTAGCGTAGTGAATCTAATCGAATTGAGCAGAATTAATAAGTATAAAAGAATCTCGCATTATAGCTTCAAGATTAGTTGTTTAAAATTGTGGGTAAGTGATTGTGCACGTGAGCTGACTTTGAGTGTATTCTGCGTAATGTATTTATAATTAAAGTGCCACGACAATTCATCTCCATCACCGTCTCAAATTAAAACATTCGTGAGAAAAGCCAACAGAATGGAATGGCGAAGCAACTGCTGTTTTACACTAATTTTAAAAGTATTCGATTCATTGCCCAAGAAGAATACAGAACCCGCAACTGATAGATTTGTCAGATTCAGAATAAACATGTTTTTCTTTACAAGCACGAAACGAATAATTTCTATGATAAATCGATGATAGATTACTGCAGATGATATATACTGCTACCAATTTTGGGTTCACGTGTAATAAAAATCACTGAACTTAATGCAATTGCATTTTTTTTACTGATTGCGCATATCGAAAGAAATGTATATAACCTATCACAGAAAATAAAACAAATCTTGCCCATTTTTATTATGCATATATCTGAGATTTTTTCTCTACATTCATATTTTAAAGTATGCGCATATTTAAGTGCATATATTACAAGGTTTTTGTGTAGAAGCAGGTCGATGCCCGATATTTTGAGGTATTTCTCGTTCAAAAAAGTGAATTAATCCATACTTATACTACAATACCAACATAATATTTTCGATTGTCTTATGATATTGTCTTCCCTTGAATCGAAAATACTTTCTGTTTCTTATCTGTGCGCATTAACTTAGTGAACTGGGCTAAAGGTTTTGGCATCTTGTAACAATGCTATAGGTTCTCACGCTTAATAATTTTGTTCGTTTAATGTAATGTTTCACAATATATTGTTTTTGTATTCCAGCATCATAAAAGAACCTTTTCTGTTGTAAGAAATCGTACATAATAGGACATTTAACGGCACAAATGATGACGTATTAGATTGTAGGTCACGAATGATTGCGTCATCACATTTATCGTAGCCAATCGTAGCGAGAGAATCGGGGGAGGTTTTAGTTTAGTTTTTCAAAAACCTTCAGATATTTCTATAAACATCAAATATTGCAATCAACAAAAAATTAACACTTCCAAAGTACAGTATTGATGATAGATTTTTTGGTTAAAGAAATCTGTTCTAAAAAATCAGTTATTGAAAGCAGCCGTGTTCATTATTATAAAATTTGTATTCATCATAACTTTATTTTCGAATTTAAAAATTCGAATTTCTCGCATTTCTTTTGCTAGAATGTTTCACGAGTTATCACATGAAATGCGGTGTCATGGAAAGTTTGAAATTCTGAGAATACCTTCTATTTAGTAGGACATGTTATGGCAATGTGAAACAAAATTTTAATTGTCGAATTTGTGTTGGTGTATCATCTTAAAAAGAATTAGTTTTGGAATCTAATGTTCTATGATTTGTAATGAGTTTTACAAACGATGACAGTTCTGTTAACATGGACAGAGATTGTGGTATTATAGTATGAAATGTGAGGATGTACAGGCTGTTGTTGCACCACTATTTATAATTAGAACAAAATTTTGTTGTTTAACATTTTATGATAGAATTTATCAGAATCAGACACAACATAGTTTTCATGTACTCGCTACTTTTTTTGTCTTGAAATGCACAACGTATGACCTTATAAAATTCTAACTAGAAATTAATCTGAATTATTTGTTGGATTCACACAGAGATTATTCATTAATTTTTTCAATTAGCAATACAACTTCATTTTTCCATGATTATTTTTTGCTCAAATGTAAATTCTTATTCATTCACTGGCAATTAAATTCTTATGTTAAAAATATACATAAAAGAGCTTTAAACTCACCATTTAATGCTTGTATTTGTGATAAACATGTGTACACTGTAATGAGGGAAGAGTGAAGAGAACTATCAACCTCACCCCATATTAATTGTGAAACAACAAGAAATTTACTACAACTTGCAAGTACCATTGCTTTCCATAGTTTCACAGCATCAGAGTAATGCAAGCTACAAATGTATATACTTAACGCATATACAGACAGCCACCATGATGTAAATCCTAAAAATAAATAAAAGGCATGTTTTAAGATATCAATTATGGATTTAAAAGTTCAAATGACCGCATTGCTGTATCATGCAACTTTATCTCCATATCAATACTACAAACAAAAACTGTCAAAATACCAAATACATACTAAACAAAAACTGTCAAAACGTTTTTCCATTTTAATATACTTAAGAGCAACCAAATGATGTCTTCTTTATTCAGAATACAATTTTCTTTTAAATGTATTTATATAAATGAACATGTAATTAACTCCATAAAAACAAGCATCCATTCACTGACTACATGAATAGCTATAGCAACAAATATTTTAAATTTGACAGGGAATTTTGGGTTTAGATTTTAACATTGCTCTCAAATTATTGAACTGATGACTCATTGCCACCTAATAATAGCAACCTATAGAATACACGTACTTCTCAACTAAATTGATGAACTATTTTTTTTTCAAACACGCATTATAAAAAATGTTTTTGAAAATTTGTGTGTGTGTGTGTATATATATTCATTTCTGACACCCAAAAATAGATAATTCATTTGTATTGCTATTACAATATCATTTTTTACACCTCAAACATTTCTTTAATTTTTTCAAAAACAGCAAGAACAAAAGTTTATGCAGTTTATGATTTTGGGTGTTTTGAAGTACAGCTTGCGATTGCTTTCAGAAGAATATCTTCCAGCACAAAAACATTTCCCAGCACATTTACATCAAAATTCCCAGACAGGTAAACAATCAAATTGTAACATTCACATTTCTGATAAGACTTTCAATTCTGACAAAAATTTTTTTAAAAAGGACAATTACTAAATTTTCATTTTAAAATTTTATTATAAGTTTCAAAAAGTTGGCAAATCACATCTTTTTAATGAGTATTTCACCCACATTCCCATCACCCCTAAATAGAGTGTTCAAACTTCAATACTTACTTGTTCATATATATTTCACTGAAAGAGAAAATTATGGAATGCTGCAGGGAGAAGTGCAGATATTTCAAGAAAAAATCCTTTTGTAGGTGATGATAAGGAAAAAGTTGATTTTTCTTGCTCTTTTTTGTAGTCAATTACCTTATATTAAGAGTGGTCAGATTCCAAAAAATTTTGTTGGATCCTTCGTATCAAAACCCCGCCCCCAACGTGTGTGAACCACACTGGCGCCTAAAAACAAACATTTAATCAAAACTGATTTTCCCCAATCAATTCAGCTACAGTTGCGTTGACAGAATCCACTTCGTAGTTTCTTCGTACAAATTGTTTTATGACAAGTTTTGATTGCATGTGGACACAAGCATCTAAACTGATCATATGATTTTTTTCAAAACTGATATTGCCTGATCAATTATGCTGAACCCAGAAAATGCCCAGTGAATTTAAATATAATACCTCAAATTCCAAAATCAAAGATATAAATATTTTTGTAATGCAGTGTTCTTTACATAAAGACTCAATATTGTTGTTTGTATCTGAAAATGTGGAATTCATTTTCACAGAAAACTTTAAAGAGTTTTCATCAAATGTTATAGGGCATCACTTGAAACACATGTACACATAAATGCAATAATGTGTACAAATTTACATTAATGTAAATATTAACAATGTGAGAGGCATGTAAAGAAATACAATTATGTATAAAAAATAAAAACGGCTGTTACAGTCAGTGAACCCTTGTGTATAATAGTTCACTGGTTACAGTATGTTTAGCACTAACCCTACCACAAGTTTAAAGAAAAAATTTGGAGTGGTTTTTGAAAAATGATTTTTCATATTTTTTAATACTGCACATATTTCACTCAATACTGCATGCAAATTAAAATTTTCCAAAAAATGTACAAGACTGTTATCAAACAACGAGTTATGGAGAACATATTTTGTTTGAAACGAAATTTTTATTTTGTAGCTGTAAGAAGACACCAAAAATATTTCACTCTTTTTCAATTTTCATATAACGGTATTTTGTTCTCCTAATAGAAAAAACATTAAAGAAAAAAATTGGAGCCATTGAGAAAAAATTGAAAATGTCCCACAGACTTCATGTAAAGCATCCTTCAAAACTATGGAATGCTGATTAAGGAATTAATGAAACCGCAGAGCTTCACATGAGGCTAGATCGGTGGGGGAGTATTAAGTTTGGAAAAATTCCAACGTATACATTAGGCATTAGTGTTGTTCATAGTCGGCAGACAGACAGTCGGTCGATTTGGGAAAGAAGAAAAAGAGAAAGTTTGCAGTATAAGGGACACAGTATTTGTGAAATCTGACAACACAACATGTTAGAGAGGGTAATTTACTACATATCAGAGCAGACTGATGACTCTACCCATTCATACCAAAAAAATACTGAACCAACAGTTAAAATCTTGAAACATAAAAAAGAAACAAATATCTGAGGTCCTGAGAGCCTCCGCCCTTAGTATTGCTGTTTAAGATTTCGTGCAATGAAATTGAGAATGACTATTGCAGTCAAACTAGAATCCCATGCCTTAACACAAAAGAAAATCTGAGCATATCCAATCTTTTTAAGTTTGCATTTTTAAGATGAAAAAGAAAAGGATTTTCTTAAGAAACTTTAGTTGAAATAAAAATATTAGATTACACTGCCAGATCAATTTGGAAAAAAGATAATTCACTACATTGAGAGGAGACACAAAAGTGCTAACATACAAGGACTCTGTAGGTGATAGACTTTACATAGTTCATACAAATACTTTTTATTGGAACTTATTTTCCTGAACAAATCAGATTTAGAAATCACAGATATCTCCACATGAATAATGGATAAAATTATATTTCACATGTTTGTTTTCATCATTTATTCAAATATGCTATATCTTCCATTATTAAATTGTACTTACATCAAAGAAAAGATTCTCTCCATATTACCATTGAAAGTTGGGTTTGCAAAAAAGTACTTAATTATCACCAATTCTGAATTAATCTCTGAATTGTGATTTTGCTTGTAAACTTCCCTCTATCAAATTCTTTTATCACATTACAAAAATGAGCAAAAAACTTTGCCCACTACAAGGCACATATTCTTCACATTAAATTATTTTAGGTTCCCATTATCCCATAACAATATTCTGTGAGCCCTGAGTAAACTGAAAATATTAAGTTAGGAAGGTAGTTTGTTGGTTGGTTTTTAGGCTAATATAGTACACACAGGCATACAGATAACACAAACAGAGACCCCTCGGGGGAACCAGGGGCAACCTGCTCCAGGCTCACAATTTTTTTAATTAAAAAAATAGAACAGGTGAATTTAATTCTAATCTAATTCAAATTAACTGCTACAAGTTATTTCTATTGCCGGTCCCTAATTTTCTCTGGGTCCCTGGTCAAAAGGATGCAGTTGGCAACCCTATTTTAGATTCATTATTAAAAGATATTTAAAAAATGTATGATGAAAGACCATGAGGCATTAGGAATAACAATTTACAAGTTGGATGGAGTGTAGTAAAGCAGCTACAAAATGCCCATTGAGACATGAACCAGAGGGTGAACCAAAAACAAACAAAAAATTCTACTTACCAGTCAGTATATTTAAACAGGACAAATAAAACTGCCTGTCAACTTCAAATGTATCTGACTGCTTGATACTATTGCTTTGATCAAGTTTATTCACAGCAACCCATTCCATACAAATTTCTAGAAGTACCAAAACGACAGCTAGTTTCCAGTGATTCTGTAAGTGGAAAATGTTTACAAAACTAGTACATCACAAGTGAGCACAAGTAAAATTTTGACCATGGTTTTCCAAACACACAATTAGCTACATTATCCAAATCCTACAACCACAATATCTAATTTTTTTTAAACATGAATGTATTAGAAGGCCATGTACATTTTTTTTTTTTAAACAAGTCGTTTTCTGCAATTTGCACTTACTCAAAGGCAATTTATTTATTTTTTTTAACTGCTCCAATTCAACTCTTTCAACCTCAATATATTGTTTTCTAATTATAACAACAAATAAAAATTGAAATAATAATGGTAATAATAATAATGCAAGTAACAGATCCACTAACCTCAAAAGAAGAATTAAATAAAATGTGACGATAAGCTTGCTTATTAAGTAAAACCATATCTATCATGATGATGACTTTGTCATACTCAATGTATTTATCTGCCACTTTCTGGCATGCTTCCTATGACAGAATAGAAATTTAACATTGAGAATACATACACAATATTGAATCTTTTTGATAGTTATACTCACGCAATTCTTCAATTTTAGAACAGACGGGCTGTACCTTTTGAATAGGTATGGTACAAGATCTCCACAATTAACACATTTATAAGGTCTTTCTCCCTGATCCATCATAAGTTTTCTGCCAGTTCCAGGGTTATAAGCTAGAGGTTAGCTTACTTTTATAATAAGGAATGTTTCCTGAGGTTTGATGAAGGTGGTGCTAAAGACAATTTTTAAATTATTAACAACTGTAGGAACTATAGTAGTAATGTCCACCATGCCCTGATCTCAAGGTTTCAGGGTCCACAAATGCTTCCTTTCACATCACTTTCTCATCTACATCATTAACAATCGACCCCCTATTTATTTAAAACATTTTGTTACAGGTATGGAAAAGTCCACAATTCATTAGCCCATTAACTACATTGCAAAAGCCATCTCAAACTGAACAGAAGACATCGTTGACTAAGCGTCATTGCCAGTGCTATGAACAGCTATGATTGCCGTAGATTAATTTATAAAAGAAGGGATCACTTTGACAGTTTCTTCCACAGTGCAACCCAACGAGTATTTTACTGAGTCGGCACTCAATGTTATTCTGAAGCTCCATATTTTCATGGAGGGGGGAAGGTCGACCTCCCACTCCGACGGAAGCTACGAATCAGAAAGAAGTATCCATTTCTGCCCCCTCGCCAGCCAATAAGCGTGGGAAGGCGATCTACCAATTGATATGGAGAGCAGACGTTACCCGGGACATTTGAAATTACTTTATCTAGCAATTTTCCAATATGGCAGGCATTTAAAGAACAATTTATTTTACATGAAATTAATGCGTAAGGTCAGTAATTCTGACAGGATTTATAATTGTGAGGTAGTTACATAAATTGTATTGATGCAAGTGAAAATTTAAAAAAAAATCATATAAATAATATTTCTTTGTAAAATATGTAAAAAAAAAACATATACAAAAAAATACAATATGCATGAAGAAGAAACCGGTTATGTAAAATAAAGGAATAGATTCTGGCCAATCATGTGCCACACTAATATTACACATAATTTCACTGCAGCTAAACAACACAAAATATAACCAAATGAAATATATAAATACCCGGTGTATGTATGTATGTGTATGTATATGTGTGTGTGTATATATATATGCCTTGTTTAGAAAAAAAACTTGTCCAACAAACATTGGAAATATATTAATAAATAATCAAAAAAATTTTGTATGTGAACAATAAACTTTTGTTTTGGAATGTGTAATAAAAGAACTGTGTGCAATAAATAATATACTCTGAATGTCAAAAGTTTATTTTAAAAATAAGATAGGTGAAATTTTTTTTGGATATTTCACATGCTTCAGTGCTACAAAAGGTTAATATATTTTAGATGATTTTTAATTAAATATAGCCAAATTTTGAATTGGTAAATGAATCATCTGAACAATAAATCCTGTAATATTATTGATAGAGTAAAAATCTAATCCAATTTTTCTACATATACTGTCAAAATTGTCATCTCTAACAATTCAGTATTGTTCTGACCATGTGTGGTATAAAAAATGAAGTCTTGTATTGCAGCCTAAACAGAAGAAATCTGCGAATTGTTTATTTAGAAGTTAAGATTGCCTAAAACTTGGGAGAAACAGGTCAAATTAAAATAGTTTATGTTTTTATATATATATGTATATATAGTAGTACTATATATATATATAGTATATTATATATTGTATATGTATGTATATGATAACAATGCGATAGACCACACACACTAAACAATTCAATGTACTTTGGTTGCCATGCCTATTAATGTTTATTGCTGTACACAATTTTTCCCAAACAATTTTAAGGTACTTTCTAGCAGTCCACATGCATAAATTTGATACACACCAAACACAATTTTTTTTTTTTTTGTTTTCCATAACGCTTGTATATGAAAATATAACACACTCTGAATAGCCTTCATATCCAATTTGATGTGGACTAGCAGAACAGTAATTCATCATTGGTTTGTGGTATTTGTGTCAATTGGCAGTTTTGGATTATAAGTACATTTCAACATGTTCTGGATCCTCTTGCCTTGATCCGTGTACAATAGGCTGCGATATTGGATTTGTATAGGGTAAAGAAAGCAAATTCAGAACGAATAAGGGAGTATTTGGAAGGCAATGAAAGTGAAGAGGGCAGTAATTTCACAATTTTCAATGCAGTTAACTTGATTTTGGGGTACTGAAATTAATATTTCTTCACTGGAAATAGGGAGCCAGCTGTTTGAGCTACAGCCTGCAACCAACCTAATAACACATAATTAGATGAATAATCGGCCAATATTATGGAATAAACCCCTATATTGGTACAAATAAATAAAAGTAATACCAAGTCAAATGAAACTAATTCATATCCCAATAGATAAATCAAATTAAAAGAGATAAAATAATCTTATCACTGGACTAAAAATGTATTGACCTTTACAAATCTGAATATAGCCTAAAACTTTACATTCTAATAGAGTTAAAAAAGCTGCACCAATTAATACAAAAATAACATAACAAATTAAGCCCATTATATAATTAAACAATACAATATGTAATATTAATACATTCATGAATTCTAAATTAATTGCACTTTATATATTAAAATAAAACCAGATTTCATCAATAACACAATAACCACACAGGAAATGTTTTAATATATTTATAGATGACACCGTACTACATTTCATTGTTGGAGAAACAAAGCAATATGCAGATCAATCAGTTGTTAATGACATTCTAAATGAAACATGTTGCAAATACTACTCACGCCTGCTTTATTGATACTAATAAAGAATAAATTTCTGGGTATTCTTTTATGAATAGCTGTGGACAAAAAACAGACCCTTCAGGATTGATGGTCACAAAAACTTTTGTACAAGATAAATATGAGCAAGGAAACATCATGGAATAGTTTTGAATCGATATTTAGCAACATTAACTTTTCTGACAATAAGACTGCAACAACAAATAAGTTTATAAAGTCAGGTATTGATTGACCTATTGAATCAGTAGTTTAATAATGCTGAAACTTGGTGAATCAATTACCAGAGGCAGTGTGTATCATAATGATACACTCATTCTAAATCCCAAAATTCAATAAAATAATTTGTAATTTCTGCATATACTCCCAAATAAATCATTTTTACAAAACTTTATGCACAAAAAGATGTCTGGCCTGGTAGGTAAAAAAATGACAATAGACTGCGGACTTGGAGGAACTTACTGATGTGTATCAATTTGATACACGTGGTCTGTGGCGAAAGGTAAAATTGATGCACGTGGCAGTTAAAGTGCAAAACAGAGCATCCTGTGTAGAAACAGAGAAACCATGAAAAACTACCGACCAGAGCAATCGCTAAACTTCTCCTCCAGTCAGTGAATGAATTCAACCTAGCTAGTGTCGAAAATACTGCCACTGTCAGGATTCGAAAAAAGAACCTTCCAGCCAGAGGCACTGCAATAACATCAGTTGATGCTCCTAGTCAACTCTCACAGTGAGCATCTTGTACAATTCATATTATATTATTCTAACATAGCTTTAACTTTTCTGCTAATGAAAAAATATTCTTCACAAACAAAACTATTTTACATACATTGGAAAAACATTTTCATTTTCCTTGTTACATTCTCATTAATGATGCTTTTAACATTCCCAGAGAAGTGAATCACTAGTTTTACTTCGCTTTCCACAAATGATATTCATCATGATCTCTAACAATACTTTTCCTTCATAAACATGCAGATGAAACTTTCCATAATGAAGGAATAAAGGAAAATCATGCAACTTTCTGAAGACTCAACAAATTTGTTTAAATTTAATTAAAAATGATAAATATGTTTTATCTCATAATAAAATATATATTTTATTACAAATAAATCATTCCATAATATAGGGTAGAAATCCACAAACAAAAGCATGTCATTTAGAAAGGAAATCAAGGTCCTAATTTATAGAACAATTTGCATTCATGTTATACACAACACTTGATAAATTAGATGATGCTTAAGCATAACTGTTTATTATAAATCAAGTAAATAATCAAAGAATTCCACAAAACAACATATTACTTGTTAAAAAGAAACATGGTAGAACACAGCCCGCAATTTGTATAATTCATGAATTATTTTCAAATCAAACAGTAAACAATAAAAGGTTTAAACTGTAAAAGAAAACCATTTTATTATATATAAATAAATAATTTTCTTTTCAAAAAATACAAAAATTAAGAGAGAACCATTTCCAAAACCACACTGGAATGTTCAGCATAAATCAAAACTTATATATTTTATTATTCAAAACATTTGGTACAGTTCGATGCCTTGATTATTTTCCTTCTTCAGGATGCCAGGTAATTTGTACAGATCAGTTTTATAAATAGTAAATGTTTGCACATGTTCACTTACTTCACTTTGCATATATACAATTATTCAAAGCCCTTGGTCACAAAATATTTAACTAAAAGCACAGTGATGCCAAGTCAAATTCCAAAGATTGTTAAAAATATGTTTGTTTAATAACACAATTTTCTATATGATTGTCTTCAAATAAATTACCCAGGGTAAACTCAGCTCAATTCTTCACAAGTTGGTTTTGAAGAGAAATTTCAATAAAAATTTTTAAATTCAAAGAAGTAAAATTATTTTAAAAGTTATTTTATACAAAATCTATAAACCACCAATCACTGGAACTTGACTACATGCACATCAACATGCAATATTCCATAAAAAATGTTAGGTATTTAAAGTTTAAGTTTCATTACTCCTTAAATGACAAATATACTTGCAAACTATTCAATACACTAGAAGGTAAATCTAACTCTTGGATATGATCTCTGTAAGTAACACATATTTTGTACAGACTCCGTTTCAATGAAGCTTTAAGAGCTGCTTTCATTTGCATATCATTTTGTTCATTTTTCTGAGTCCGTTTAAAATTTCCTATTTTCTGAGCTCTATCAACAGTTAGCTTCAGCTGCTGAATGGCAATTATTATAGTATTTAAATCCTTTTGTACCACTCCATATTCATCTTCAGTCAATGATGCCGCAACTAAAAATGATAATCCTTGAACTGCATTGATAACAGGTAAACTGTTTGAAAAAATGAGTTTCAGCTGGGCATCTGGAAATTTATCAAATATATGATTCAATCTGGTTGTCTTCAGCAGAGGAGGAATAAGGCTTTTCGCAAACAAAACTACATGTTCATAAATTTTATGCCAACCCACAAAAGGCTCTTCATTTAGAGGTTCATATTGAAGAGAGGTGTCCTGACCAATAAGACATAAATTTCTCATTGCAGGAGACATTTCTCTCATTCTGGGTACTGGGATTACTGGAGTAGATGGAATCCCTCCACTTTCAGTTTGAGGGTTGGTCATTTCAGAAATGGCAATATTTAGTTGCTCAACAAAATTATCCATGAGTTGTACACACTCTTTTCTTATAGCATTCCAGTTGTTTGGATGACCACCTGGCTGACTTAAAGCAAATATTTCCTTTCTCCTTCTGGGATCATTTTTTGCAAGAGAGAATAAATCCAAACAGCCCCAATTCTGAATAACAGGACACTTGTAAGCTGCAAGTACTTCATGTAATGTACCAATATTTGCTTCTCCAAATTGACATGCAATTGGAAATTCTGGCAAATCTGTCAAAAATATGTTTAATATATGCTCCACCATATCACAAGAAAAAATTAGTACAGTAGTCTGTAGCCACATATAGAATAACAAAGTAAAATTCAAGTAATCTATCAAATTACTAAACAATTTATCTTCTGAAGTTAAATTAAAAATATCACACATTACATTCAGAGCAAAATCACCATTCACAAAATACAATATAGGGCACAAAATACATGGCAACAGTGATGATTTCATTGCTTGCTTCAAAGACGGAATAAGCTCTGCTTTCAAACGAAGAAATACAAGCTGTTGGATAACAGGGAAACGTAATGGATAACTCTTGAAAAAGTTTTTCAGAAATACATATATTCCTGACCATGCACCACTGTATATAAGAAATACTTTCTCTTCTGCAACACACAATCCAGCAGAAAGCGTGCACTCTTTTTGTAGACTATTATATTTTCTGCCAATAACTGCTAAGTAAAGGCAAGACACCACTATTCCAATTAAAATGTGTAAACATGCTTGAAATACCGTACTCAAACTAAAAACACGTCTCAACCTATCAAAACGATTTGTGTATAAATGGGGGCCAGACAGAATTTTATTCTTTAACCCTCCACATAAAGCAGCGAGTAAGGAACAAAGAATAATAAAGATTATCCATAAAGAAAATGACGCAAGTTTGGTAAAGGAGTTAGTTATCCATGTTATCGGGTGAAAAATATCAAGATTTGAGAACGAAAAAAGTAATACGAGAGCAGATTGAAATACAATGATATTCACAACTGACGTAACAGATCGTTTATGTAGTGTGTCCATGACTTTCTCCATTGTTGAACGTTCACTAAAACTTATTTGAAATGATAAATATTTACACTCCCATCTTCAAATGTGCTGTTGTAGATCACATCAGGACAAGACACTGAATTGAATGAATACCACATCCAAATCAACAGTTGACCGTTAGCACATGTATGCACTATCCACACATTCACCAATCACATAACTGGAAGTTTTCATTTGGCCGAAATGTGATCCACAAAACAATTATTCACTTTGTTCTTACTTTTTATCAGTATTGAACCACTATCATAGTTTATCACGTTCCAGTAATGAATTGGTCCCAAAATCGAGAGTATAACTAAAACTCAAACAGCCGGGCAAGAGCAACGTAGAGGGACCAATAGGAACAATCCGATTCAACCGATTCGATTCCGGTTCCTATGGAGTCGGTATTTATTCCTTCGCTTTCTATTAGGGAGTTTGTGCCACCTCG